TTTCCCTCTGCAGATTGTGACTGTGAACTGTGCCAGGCTGTTGAAAGCTGACCACCATGCCACTAACGGAGTGGTTCATGTCATTGACAAAGTCATTGCCACCACTACAAACAGCATTCAGCAGATCATTGAGACTGAGGAAAGCCTGGAAACCCTTCGGGTGAGTCCACCCCACGTGCGCTCCAGGAATCCTTAAAGATGTTCAGTCATCCCACTCCCGATGAATTGTCATGAAGAGCTTGCTAGTGCCTAGGTGCTGTGACCCTAAAACTGCTGATAAAATCCTTGTACCAATATAGCTTATTTTGCTTTAGGAAGAGAAGTGTTTGATATCAGCACAAGTAGGGTTTTATGAGAATAATTGTCACCCTGCTATTGCTGTCAGTAAAGAGATGTAAACTGAGTCTGGCTCCTCACTCTTCTATGGGAGTCTCAGCCTTAGGAGATATTAACTGTTCAGATTTGATGAGCACCATTTATTTGCCTTGGTATTTGCCAAGTTAAGGAGTAACTTAAAAAGCACAGGGGGTTTGCAGTTAGCCAGCTGTGGGTTCTGATCTGAATTATTCACTGGAACTACTGTGACCCTTTCCAGGCATATTAGGGTATTTGAAGTAGCTCTCAGTCTTGCCAAAAAAGGGCTCTTGTACTCAAATTTCTGGAGCACATGGGGCCAGGTCAAATTTATAAAGGGTCCAAAGTGCTGAAAGAAGCTATTCAGGATTTTTTGTAAGTCCTCTGAAATTATAAAAGCCTTAATAGATGGCCTTTAGTGTGTGCCTGGACAAAGCTGCTGAACTTTGTATTCTGGCTGAATGTGTTTTACCCTCTTTCCTCATGTCTCTGAAGGCTGCTGTGGCTGCTTCTGACCTCAACAGCTTGCTGGAAAGCGAAGGCCAGTACACGCTCTTGGCTCCAACCAACGAAGCCTTTGAGAAGATCCCGCAAGAAACACTGAACAGGATCCTGGGGGACCCAGAAGCCCTGAGGGGTAAGCGCTTGTTTACTAAGCCCATGGAGGGACTGAAGAGTATTTTTCAGTTCTTCTAAATTCCTTCTCAAGGATATTTGAACGGCTGCTTGATACACTCTGACAACAGCTGCAGTAAACACATTTGACAGACTCCAGCTTTTTAAACTGGACAGCCCAGACTTCTTTGGGTGTAGGCATGGTAGACCTGTAGACATGGCAGACAGAGTGGTATCCAGATATGGAGGAGGGAGCTGAAGCAGTCCATTTTCCAAGTTCTCCTTTAGCACTCCTGTATGTGATGGTGATTTCTATCAATCCAGCAAGATGCAAAAAACCTAGTACCTAATCAACGTATCTCCCCCTGACAAATGAGTCAAATAACCACACAAAATCTTTTGAAGTTGACAAAGGTGTATAAAAATTACTCTTTTTAGGCACCTCATTTCACAGGCTGCTGAATTAAAATCAGCACAATTTAAATTGGACTTGATGATCTTAAAGGTCTTTTCCAACCTAAACGATTCTATGATTCTATGAAAAATGACTGTGCATCTTTTGGAGTGGAGCCCCATACAGTACAGGAAATCCTTGCCATTGAACAGGATCCCTAAAAGCTGCAATAATTTCATAGTTGATTTTTGCAGCTAGGCACTTGCTGAACCATCACATCCTGAAGTCAGCCATGTGTGCTGAGGCCATCATCGCTGGCCTGACAATGGAGACTCTGGAAGGAACCACCTTGGACGTGGGCTGCAGTGGGGAAGAACTGACCCTCAATGGGAAGCCCATCATTGCCAACAAGGATGTCCTGGCAACCAACGGTGTCGTACATTTTGTTAATGAGCTGCTGATCCCAGACTCAGGTACTGGTGCCTCTCTGCATCTTTCTTTCTGTTGCCTTTCTTTTGTCTTTTTTTTGTTTGAGGGTGTGGGTATTTTGTAGTGATGGGTGGATTTCCTGTAACGTAAGGTTACTATGTGTTACTTTTCTTTTCAGCTAAGACCCTGTTTGAGTTGGCACAAGAATCTGAAGTTTCCAAGTCTATGGACCTTTTCAGACAAGCTGGTCTGAGTTCTCATCTAACTGGCAGTGAGCAAGTGACCCTCCTTGCCCCAGTGAATGACGTGTTCAAAGGTAAACTGGGGAGTAAATCCCTTTCTTCCATCAGTTTGGGCCACAGATCTGCTTCAAACAGTCTTCAGCCAAGTTTCAGTGCAGAAGCATGCAAACCTTCTCTCAAATGCCTCAGCTATAGGCAATGGCATCTAGCTTTAAAATTAAAACCTGGTGCACATAATACTCTGTATTTGCACGTTTTTAGTGTCTCAATGGTCATTTTAAGTGAATCACTGGTTCTTTCCATACTTTTTGCTGCAGATGGACTCCCCATTGTTGACAGCAACATGAAAAACTTGCTTCTGAACCACATTGTTAGAGACCAGCTCTCCTCTAAACATCTTTACCATGGACAGAAACTACAGACTCTAGGTGACAAGGAACTGAGAGTTTTTGTGTACCGCAATGTAAGTTCCTGCAGCGTGCAGTGCTGTATATGGCTGAATGATGCTTGATGTCTGTAATGTTATGGCTAGCATGTAAAAAGTGTATTTGAGCACTGTGGAAAGTATAAAAATCTCTCTTTGGAAGCATATGTTAATGTCTTTTTTTCTGCAATTTTGTTTGCAGAACCTTTGCATTGAAAATGCTTGCATTGCTGCCCATGACAAGAGAGGAAGGTTTGGGACCCTGTTCAGCATGGACAAAATGTTGACTCCACCATCTGGCTCAGTGATGGATGTTCTCAAGGCAGACCATCGCTTCAGGTGACCTTTCTGCTCTTCCTAAGTGCTAGTTAGGAGCAGAAGAGCTGCCAAAGCAGTTTCTATTTATTATGGGTCGTAGTCATGACTATATATATTTTTTTAACATAGAAAAAGCATCCAAAACCATGGTCTCATCCCTAAATTATAGGGAGTGAGACTTCAAATAACCCTTCAATGAATTGTGGGCCAAGAGCGTGTGGTCCCCCTTAATGCAGTAAGAAGCTGGCTCCAAAGCCATCTCTGCCCATCAGAGCTACTGTGGACAGGCCTCTCTGTCTCCTCACTACCATTTAGTCCCCAAGGAGTCAGCATTCCCAAGTTGCTTTGCCATTTCTCAGATGTTCTGGTTGGACCTCACAGGCTTATTTCCTACCTAATAAACTTTTTGGTCAATTGATTTGCTGGACCCCAGCAGGATTTTGCAATTGTAACTTCACAGCTGTCTTTCAAACACAACATGCAATTGCTCAAAGACCAACAAAAGTAGTTTATAGTGAAGCATTTTGTATGTGTTTGTCTTACAGTACGCTGGTGGCTGCAATCCAGTCTGCAGGTCTAACGGAGAACTTGAACAGGCCAGGTACCTTCACGGTGTTTGCTCCAACAAATGAAGCTTTCCGAGCCATGCCTCAAGGGGAACTGAACAAACTAATGGGTGAGTATTTTTAGAGCATTTAGATGAAGAGCTGCTGTGTGTTATTGGCATGATATGGGGAGGAATGGCTAAGTTTCTCTGCCATATTTCATTCTTTGACCCTGTCTGTTGGAAGCATGGGCTTCCTACACAACTGATTCAGATAAGCCCTATCCAGCAGAAAGCTGAGGATGCACAGAGTGGCACTGAACTCTCACACAAAGTGTAGGCATGGGTTTATACTTTCCTTGGGCTTGGAGACACGTTTGTAGTCTGTGCTACAAACTTACTATGACTTTAATTTGGCTGTGCTGGCTTGTGTAAGCAAGATAACTCTAAGGTGTTTCTAGAGGAACCGATGAGGTCTCTGCCTGTCTCAGGGATGAAAGAAGTGAGAATGTGGCTGTCAGCCACATGGGATCAGGGTGTCTAAAGTAAGTTTTGCAAATAGAAAACATGGTCCACATTCAGCCTCAAGTTACACTGTATGAAATTTAAGTAGTAAAAGGATGGAGCTGTTGCTCCATCTATGTGTACAAGGACAAAGCAGGAAGCCCAGTCTGATCCTGAGAAGACAACAAATATTCCAGTCTAGCACAGATGAAGACCAATATCCTGAAAAGCACAGGCTGTAGGCTGGGTGTGGAAAAAAGCATGGGAATGTTTAATAACGCTCTTCTGGATAAGCAGCACGATCTTTTACTTTGTTCATGTTGAAAACCGGCTGTGGTTGGAAACAATGTCAGGTATTTGAGTGTAATGTTTTCTCGTCATTAAAGCCCAACCAAACATTGACATCATAATTTGGGAAGCATCTGCCCATGGTAGCTGGTTATCCTTTTAAGTGCAGGGATGAGGAACTGGTAATCTGCACATCCAGTCTAGTGCTTAATATATAAATATTTCAGAACTGTTTTGCAGCTATTGTAAACGGCTGCAGGAATGAAGTATCCCAGATGCGGACATTTCAGATGTTCTTCTTTTTTCACGCAAATATTTAGCTTATGCTCCTGATGAAGAAGTGAATCATGCTCGTGAGAATGTGCAGTGTGAACTGTAGCCACCCTAGAAAAACTGTAATGGAAAAACAACCTCACAGTGTATTCAGATACGAGCATTAAAAGAAAAAGGCCCCCATGCTGAAGGAGCTGCTTGGGTTTTGTAGATGGAGGCCATCTTTTGCACTAGCTGCTCCCCATCGCCTGTCTGTGGGTTTTATCAATGACACTGCATCCTCTAAAGGAGAAGATGGAGGAGGGCTGCTGGCCTGTGCTGTGCATGTCACTGCCTCTTCTGGAAAACAGACAGCAAAGGGGAAGCATCTTATCTTCCTAAGATCTGTTTCAAAGCATGGCTAGATGAATAGAGACTCAGTGGAGTGGGGATCAGGTCAGCAATCTGCAAGCCATTAGTGACATTTCTACTGCACTTTTCCCCTTCCCACCCAGGAATCCTGCAGTTTCAGCCGTGAAGATTATTGCTAAGTGACACTGGCACTGGCGAAATATTGACATTTGCAAGTACCCAAGTGCTCTACCTGCTTCCTTATTTCACATAGGTCTTTTTTTTTTCCCCCTCGACTTCCTTGGGAAGTGAAAGCAGCAATGAGGGACTGAAAAACCAAGAGATAGGGATTTCATGTATAGGGCAGGATTGGTACCTAGCAAGGTGGAACACTGGGAGAGTGTCCTTCTGGACTTGCTGGGAACCTGACTTGTCCAGGCACAAATGGCCTCAATGTCCTAACCAGGTCCAACCAAGGTCCTTCTGCCCAGTCTTTTCAATTGTATGTTTTTTCCTTGCACTTTCAGGAAATGATGCTATTTTCCATGTAATGTCATTCCAGCACATGAAATACGGGAAGCAAGTGCTGATGCTGTTTTGCAAATGTAAATGTTTTCTTCCCCCAGGTAATGCCAAGGAGCTTGCCAACATCCTCAAGTTCCATGTGGCTGATGAGATCCTGGTGAGTGGTGCAGTCAGTGCCCTTGTGAGGCTGAAGTCCATGCAGGGAGATAAACTGGAAGTCAGCATGGTGAGTCACCTCAGACGTGGTTTTGCGATCAGCAGGTCTGTGGTCTGTGTTTAGCTGTCCATGTCAAGGACCAAAGTATGTCTGTGTGCATTTGGATGGTGTGGGAACCCCTTCTAAATGTGCGCGCAGTCCCACGAAACAGTGTTTTCTGGGCTGTAGCAGAGGGACTGTTGCCATGTGTTCAGTTCAACAAGCTGGTAGTCTTGAAATGTGGTTTTCTTCATCTTTCTCCCCAGAAGACCAATTGTAAATGATTTCCAGGAGCTGTTATAAATTTAACCCTGAGTCATGGGGGGGAAAAGCATAAATAAACTAAATAAATAGCTTGTTCAGCTAACACATCTTCTTTAGTGTAACGAAAATTATCTCTGCATGGGCTCCCTTAATGCAGCAGGATTTATTTAGAATCATAGAATGGTTTGGGTTGGAAGGGACCTTAAAGATCATCTGGTTCCATGCCCCCTGCCATGGGCAGGACACGTTCCACTAGACCAGGTTGCTCAAAGCCCCATCCAACCTGGCCTTGAACACTGCCAGGGATGGAGCATCCACAGCTTCTCTGGGCAACCTGTGCCAGTGCCTCACCACCCTCATAGTGAAGAATTTCTTCCTTAGATCTAATCTAAGTCTACCCTCTTTCAGTTTAAAGCCATTACCCCTTGTCCTGTCACTACGTGCCCTTGTAAAACGTCCCTCTCCAGCTTTCCTGTAGGCCCCCTTCAGGTACTGGAATCCAGGCTGCTGTAAGGTCTCCTCAGAGCCTTCTCTTTTCCAGGCTGAACAACCCCAACTCTCTCAGCCTGTCCTTATAGGAGAGGTGCTCCAGCCCTCTGATCATCTTCATGGCCCTCCTCTGGACTCGCTCCAATAGGTCCATGTCCTTCTTATGTTGGGGGCCCCAGAGCTGAATGCAGTAGATGTATAATTTCATTTCACAAATTCTGAGCTACATTAAGAGAATGTAGGATCCTCTATTGAGGGAAAAAATATATTTCAGAAAATAAATAATCATGACCCACTCGGTGCAGAAGGAAGAAGATGCAGGACAAAAATGGAAAGACCAGTGTTTCCCCGTGCATTGAGATGGCCAACTTGCATGCTAGACTCTTCCTATGTTCAGTCCTGATCTGCCCTCTCCCGATGCCATCTCCGCAGCCATCCCTCTTGGCACGAGCAGCAGTGCCTGCTGCCACCAGGGAGCTGGTGCATGTGTTCTGCTGCCGTGGGACAGCATTCCCAGCCAGCGCACCAAGAAAGTCTGCACTCCAAAGCCTGCCAGCCACTCTAGGACAAAGTGCTCAGGCTATGAGTTGTTTTTATATTCTCCTTAATTGACAAGAGGAATGAAAACGCCTACAGCCAACCAGTAAATGATAAATGCAAAGTGAGGGCTTTTTAATAAAATCGGAAACCGCTGATGACAAAAGTTTCTCATTTTCTACTTACTTTATTTTTTCTTTTCCTGAACAGAAAAACAACGTAATACATATCAACAAGGAGCCTGTTGCTGAAAGCGATATCATGGCCACGAATGGTGTGATTTATGCCGTGAACTCTGTCTTACAGCCTCAGGGTAGGTCCATGGTTAGCAATGTCTAGAACCACACCATTACAGCAGAGCCGCTTTGGGAGGGAGAGGTGACACATTGCAATTGCTTCAGTTTATTGAGGGGGATTAGTCTGTTATGGGATTTTCAACACATCCTCCAGAACACTGGAAGGAAGCAGCCTGTGTGCTTTGAAGAGTATTTTAATGCTGTCTATGTCCCACCCTCAGCTTCAAGGCCGCAAGAAAGAGGTGACGAGCCTGCAGATCCTGCGTTAGAAATCTTCAAACAGGCATCTGCGTTATCCAAGGTAAAAGACAAAAAATCTCTCACTGCAGAACTACTGAAATTACATTTTGGTAATAATGATTGGAAGATAATGTCACATTCAGACTTTGACTTCCAAAAAGAGTGAGTGTATGTGTTTCATGGAATGGCCAATCCTCTTTTCTTGCATGATTTAATTATATAAGAAATAATACATTTTGCAACCTGAAGACTACAGTTTGCAGCACACTGTGAATGTAACCTTGGCATGGTACTATGTGTGTCAGCTTCCAATAGTATTTATTCATCCATAGTTTTTGGAGACTATGGATAAATATATTGACATGCTTCTTATAGCTGTTGGAGGCTTGTTTTATTTATGCAAACCTTATATTTTCTTTCCATGCAGGTTTCTCAGAGGAATCCTCGACTAGGTAAAACAACTTCTCTAGCTTGTTTCTAATTTCCATCGTATGTCTGTGTCCCTTTAAAAGAGGTTTATACTGTTGTCTTGCTCCAAGCAAGATGTAGCATAACTAGGAAGGGAGGGGACAGGGAGATGCTGTGTGTCTGTCCCACCCAACTTGGTTTTCTCCTTGCAGCACCTGTCTACTCCCGGTTACTAGCGAGGATGAAGAACTAGGGTGGATTCTGAGCCACGTCGTGAGCAACCGCAGTCAGCGCCTCCATCCCATCTGCTCCAGCTGACAGCTAAAGAGAAGGACAGAATTGTTTTTAAAAACCAAATATCACCCTTAAATTTATTTTTGTTTCCAGTGAAATGGATAGGAAAACTGAAAAGCCATATATATATGTATATATTTTAAGACAGTTTTTATTTGGTTTTGACCTTAAAGTTCCCACACTGAGGGCAGGTTTTGGTTTGTTTTTTGTTTTTTGTTTTTTTACAAAGTAGTCACTAATTTGCAATTTTGAAGATACCCAGTTTGGGGCTTGATACGTACATACAAGGGCAGGTGCTTAATTCCACCCTTGTTCACGAGCTCAGAGAGATGCTTAGAGCTCGCCTTGGTGCTGTCTCACCAGGGGAGACTGACAGGGGCTGCATTAAAGCCTCTTTTCCAGGCTCCCAGTGGTATCTACTGGCACTGCAAACCCCAGGCTCCCAAAGCGGGACGCTAGGTATGACCTCATTGAACCCCCCCCCAAAACAGTGCCAGAATTGGGAAATTTTGGCCAGAATGACTTGGCAGGAATTGTGTATGTTCAGCTTTCTGAGCAAATACATCACCCAGGGCCAGCTGTATGGCTGGGTGAACAGTGATTGCTTTGGAGGAAGTAAATTTGTTGAATTCATTAACCATTACCCAAGCAAATTTTTCTCCTGCTTTGTTGTTTTTTTGGGGTTTGTTTTTTTGTTTAAACAAGCATGTGTTTCCTTCTTCCCTTGTGTTTTAAAAGTCTTCCATGAAATTCAGAATTGAAGGCTTTTAACAAAAGCCTCTCTATTGACATTGAGGAAACTGCGTAATTATAAGCTGTGGTTTGAACTGTTCTTTTTTTTTTTTTATTGGGTTTTGTTTATGCCTATGGGTTTTAACTGTGCTGCGTTTTGTTCACGAGATTGAAATGAGAGTTCTCCCTGGCAGAAGCCTTCCAGTAAATGATTCATTTTTAATAATGGTTGTTTTTTTAATAAAAATTAAAAATAAAATCAAAAATATAAATATGACAAGTGATGATAATCCTTGTTCGGTTTTTTGTTTGTTTTGAATTGCCTGATGGCACAATTTGACTACCTGAGCACTGGGAAGGAGGGCGGTCAGATTTGTTCGGATCAATATTTACAAGTCTAATAGTTACTAGAGTGGAATGGCAAAGCATTTCTCCTCTCTGATCCTGGCCTGTCATCATTTTTTGGCAGCACTTTCATGAGCTGTCGCTGTCACACACTTCAAGGAGTACAGGGCAGCTGTGCACAACCCTCCCACGGGATGCTCAGCTACCTTCACCAACAGCTGCAGCTCAGCACTGTGTGCCATGATGCCAACAGCACTGATTCACCCCATCAGGGCTTTATATTCACTCCCCGGCCAGTTATTATTTTGGTGAAACCCAGGATTACGAGGCACAAAAAAGAAAAAGGGTATCAAGTGCAGAATACAAAAAATCCAGATTGTTTTGGTTGCCCTGGCTGAGAAACACGCTGGTTGTTTTTCTTCTATTAAAAGCCCAAATTGAAATCCCATATGCTGTGAGCCAGCTGCATAACTCAAATGTGTGAAAAATAATCAAGTACTTCTTTTATTTCCCTTCCCCAACCTCCCATCTCATCTTTTTATTTTTCTGGCATGATGCAGTCCTCTTGTTTAAGGCTGAAGTGGTAATGGGGAACCCTTTGATCTACCTATTCCCAGCAGCCCAAGGAAGAGTAGTAGTATCAGGGGATAGGCTCCTGGGGGAGGCTCAGCTTTTTGTAATTAGAATAATTAATTACTAACTCCTACAAAACCCTTGCATCTTGCTCAGTAGTGATGTATGCAATTGCAAGGGCAGAGTCTTGCCTTTTTTGTTTCACTTTGCTTTTTTTCTTCTTGATGCTTCATGACTAAGTGATATAAAGTCCTTTACAACTTGGAAAGCTGGGAAGTAGATCTGATCCTCATCTAGGTGAGTGCTGCTCACTGGTACCTTCTTGGTGTCTGACCTGGTGACCAATTAAGTGTTTCTTTGTGAAATGAAACTACTTGAGTAGGTGGGAGTAGAGGAAACTTTGCTTAGATGAGCTTAGTAACTACAAGAAGTCCCATCTTCTGAGAGAGCAGTTTTCATCTCCTCCTGGGAATACAGCCCTGGTTTTCCACTGCCTGGTTTATGGGCAGGTGTTGGGGCTGGTGGTGATGCAGCGATAGTCTCCTTCATGTTTTGCATATGGCCTGACTTTGCTAGGCTTGCTTTGAGGGGGACACCGGGTTTACAAGTCCTGGTAGAGTTTACAGTAGATAGAGGTATGTTATCCTTTCAATCCAACTCCCTTTTTGCTCTCTCCCATTGCTTATCCTTCCTGGCCCTCTGGCAGCGCTCCCTTCCTTGCTCCTCCTGCTGCCCGCTCTATCCCCATAGCTGCTGTGGGGTACCAGCAGCAGCTCCCCATGGCCCTGTGGGTGTAGGGCTGGTGTCCCAGTTGTGTTGCCTCTATAATTTCCCTGGGATCCCACATCCTGGGAAGCCATGCCTGAGTGCCTTCCCACGGGCTCTGTGCTTGGAATCCCCCCAGGGCTTTGGTGGCTTCAGATGACAGTTCATGTTGGTGGAAAATCTTGAGATGACAGTTCATGTTGGTGGAAACTCTTGAGATGACTTAAATTCTCTCCCTTTCCCTAATCCAATTTGGTTTCTCACCCCACTGTGCTCAGGGTTACCCAGATGGCTTAGATTAATGGCAATGGTTGAGCTGCTTTAGCTGATCAGCAGGGGCTGCATCTCTCGCTTTGATTCAGTAACACTTTGGGGATGTTTTCCCCCCTGGATATTCATCCCTATACCTTACCCCCCACAGAGCGAGGGTGGATGCTGGCAGTCATCCTACCAAGGGGAGTGAGATGTTATTGCTTCAGCCTTTGAGGGGTGCAAAGGGAGGAAGTGAGAGGAGAGCAGCTGGAAGATGGGGAAATGAGGAGTGCTGAGATGATGGGAATATAAAACTTATCTGTCATTTTCTAAAGATTTTTTTTTTTGATGTGACAAAAGGTGGAAGTGAAAGGAAGAAGGAAGTTTCTGGTGCTAAGGAGAAACATAACTCTCCTGGGGAAGTGCTGGCCCAGGGGCAGAGAGCTCCCACGAGCCTGTTTGGGTGTGGGAACCTGAGGGATGTCCCAGCCAAGGGCTGTGGTGGGATGGAGGAGTTGGAGCTCCCCTGTGTACCCACCCCACGGCTCCAGGAGTCTCCAGACAGCAACACTCTAGGGAGAGGAAGAAGCAAAGCCTGATAGAGGCACTGCTGGGTGAGGGTCTGGGCTGCTGCGGTTGCAGAGTCCCTGGGGCAGCATTGGGACGAGCAGCATTTAGGATTAGCCTTCTTGTGGCAAATACTGCCAGGGTGTTCAGCACATAACCATATTGCACCAGTGGTTTTTGGTTTCTCTTGTTGTCAGAGTATTTCCACCTGAAATCCAGAGTGTGTGGGTGCATGCCACCGCAAGCTTGAACCAGGGCTGTCCTCTGCAGGAGCTCCCTTCAGGGCTGGGGCAAAAAGAACCAAACTGAGAGCAAATAAGAGCCTTTTGGAGGAGAATCTTGCTTTTTTCTCTCCTTTGGAGTCAAGAGTTTTTCTATTGAAAAATTTGCAGGAATGTGCAGCCGCCCTTGTTTACTTTTTTAGAATAATGATTCCTTCACTTGCAGTGGCTCCAGTTCAACAAAATAATTAAATGTATGCAGAAATTAATTGAGGAAAAATACAGCTTTCAAGTGTGTGCTCTAAGTCCTGAAATCCTGCTGATGCCTATAGCCTTCATGGCTGGGCTGACGCTGGTGGGTAGCTCCTGTGCTGGCTAAGCACCAGTGCTCTTCTGGGTTGGAGCAATGAAAAGAAAGCAGTGCCTCTGAAGGGCTGGAAAAGCAAAGGTTGAATGTGAAATGCTGTGTTTCAGGAAGCTTAATGTGGTGGGTTTGCTCATTTACATCTTGAGACAAGAGCCAGAGATGCTTTTCTTCTAGAAAATTCTTTTACTTCCTGGTGGCCTTCTGCAAATATATTTAAAGCAAGAGAAAAAGCAGTGCTGCGCTTTGTCCCAGCAGAGACCTCACATGCAGTGCTGTAGTGGAAAACATGTGCTCTTCCAGCATCACGGAAATCTCGGAGCACTGTTTGCTTGGCTTACGAAAGAGGTTTGGAGTTGACCTGCCCCAAGTGCTGGGGCTTGGGGGGGTCAGACTGCGAGGTGGGCGATGGCACCTCCCTGCACCTTTTTACGTGAAAGGTGGAAAGGCAAAAGCCTTCGTGTGTGTCAAAGGCCAGCCAGAGGCTCGAATGAAGCCAAGGCATCGCAGCCAGATGTGCTGCAGAAGGATGATCCCTGAAAGTCAAACCTGAAGGCAGGGGTGAAGCCACCCACATGCCATTGCTGGAAGAAATTGTACTCCCTGCTCTTCTGCTGTACACAAATTCTTATTTCTACACATGATTTATTGGAAAGTCATTGCACCTGTCAGCTGTTGTCTCAGGAGGAGCAAAAGGGAAAACTAAGGGTAATACTAGCACTGGTGAAAGACAGGCTTAAAGGAGCAATCGGCATCAGAGGCATCCAGCTGTTGCTCAGGCAACTCTTGCATTTTTTTTTCTTCCAACTCCTTTTTGGTCACATTTGAGAGATTTTGCAGAAATCTGTAAATTCCCCAAAGAAAAATATTTAGGGGGACTTTCTTTCCAACAATGAATGACGTCTTACTATTTTGTAATATTTTTATGAGTAAATACTTTGCAAAAGCTCAGCACTTTTCCTAGAATTCATTTGGTGCAAGAGCAGAGGGGTATCAAGTGTGCAGTGAGTCATGCAGCACACTGTGCCACAGGAAGGCATCCTCCTGCTAAGGTAGAATAACTTTCCTAAGGACCAGTTATCACCTTCTGGAAAGGAAGGTGACAGGGAGGGTTTGTTGGATGCTGCCATTCATCATATG